TTTCTTTCTTTCTTTCTTTCTTTCTTTCTTTCTTTCTTTCTTTCTTTCTTTCCTTCTTTCTTCCTTTTTTCCTTTCTTCCTTTCTTTCCCTTCCCAACATGCCCAGGTTGATCCCACCTCTGGGCCTTTGCACCTTCTGTTCCTTCCACCTGAAACACTTTTCCCCGGATTTCATCTCTGCAGCGTCAGCTGTCATGGCATCTCAAAGGCCAGGCGCTTGATGCAAACGCACACATTCCGGGGGGGTCTGACGGGCACCCCAGACTTCTCCTGGCCCCAAGCCCTGCTTCTCCGCCAGTGTCCTCCATATTGGCCGAAAGCCACCTGATTCACACGGTCCCTGAGGCTAAAGCCTTGGCCATCGGCCACCTCGCCCTCTCTTGATTCAGTCCTTCTTCGACCCTTCCGGGGGCAACCTTCAAAATCTATTCAGATTCTCTCTGCTTTTCCCCAGGGTCCAGATCCTGATGCCACTCCCCTGGGCCCTCGTCCGCAGCCAGCCCTGATCCTCCCGACCCACACTCTGTCCTTAGCCAGGGCAGTCAGGGCCACCCTTTTAACACTTAAATTGAACCCCGTTTCCTCCCCGCTCCCCTGCTTTCCCATCACACTCAGATTAAAAAGCAAACTGGGGCGCCCGGGTGGCACAGTCTGTTAAGTGTCCGACCTTTGATCTTGGCTCAGGTCATGATCTCATGTGGGTTCAAGTCCCGCACTGGGCTCCGTCCTGATGGCGCAGATCTGCTGGGGATTCTGTCTCTCCTTCTCTCTGCCCCTCCCCTACTTGTGCTCTCTCTCTCTCTCTCTCTCTCAAAATAAACTGTAAAAAAAAAAAAAAAAAAAGATTAAAAAGCAAATTTCTCTGATTTCCGCATGCCCACCTGCCCACCTCAGCCAAACCCCACCTTGCGGCCTCCAAAGCCTTGTATAGGCCATCCCCTCTCTGATTCCACTTCCGCCCTGTCTCCCCCGCGCTCACTCTGTTCCGGCCACAAGGGCCTCTTCGCTCTTCCTTTAACCTCCCAGGAGTGATCGTGCCCCAGGACCTTTGCATGGACTGCGCCCTCTGCCTGGAGCGCTCTTCCTCCCTATTCTCCTTTCTTCCCACACGACTGGCTACTTCTTACCATTCCAAACATCACCTCTTCCGAGACCACCCTCCACAACCAGATTCTCCCTCACCTCATCCTTAACCTCCATCGTGATTCTCACTGCACAACTTCCTGGGTCTCTCTCTCTGCACCCCCCCGAGACTGTCAGCTCCACCATGGCAGGAATGGTTGTCTGTCTCCGTCACCTCTGTGCCTGTGTCTGTGGTGTCCAGAACAGGACCCGGCACACACGGGGCAGGATTGGTGTGCCTCAGTGAGAAGTGACCTTGCAGAGATCACGTAGTGTCACCTGTGTGGGCTGAGAGAGTAAGTCCCATAAACACACACATGCACACACACACACACACACACACACACGGAAAGGCCTTACTCACGTCTTGTGTCCCCTAGTCCTGCAAGGACCTGCAGGCCTCAGTGTGCAGCAGGGGCCCAAACTGCCGCAGGTGAGGGAGGACAGCCAGGTGACCTTGGCCCGCCAGGTGGTGCAGTCCCAAGCCTGGGGGCAGCAGCTCCGTATCGGGTGGAAGAAGGACGGTGTCTTCTTGTGTGACTCACATGTCACCAAAGTCAGGTTCAGCCTGGGGGGTCTGCGGGCCCCGGTGGCAGCTTTCCTGGGAGTCGCGTGGCAACCTCAACCTGCGGGGACCTCGGGACCCTCAACGACAGCAGGGACCACACGGGCTGGGTGACCGTGGAGATTCCTGAGTTGGAGATGGCTCAGGGCAATGGCACGAAGCGTGTGGCCGACAAAGGTAGGAGAGCAAGTGAAGGGAAGATGTGGGCCCTCGGGACTTACAGAGTCTTAAGGCTCTAGAATCTCAAACTCCTAGAAATCTAAATTCGAAATCCTTCAGATCGGATTCTTACAGAGACCTTGCAAACTCAAGCACATCAAATTCTAGAATCACAGAACCAAAGATATGCTGGAATGGATCATTCTAGACCAGGACTCAGAACACTTTCTGTCAAGGGCCACGGAGTAATTATTTTCTGCCTTGTGGAGCTGACGTTCTCTGTTGCCACCACTCCCGGCTGCTGTGGTAGCCGGAAAGCAGCCCTAGACTGGACATGCGTGAATGTGCGGGCCTAGGTTCCAATAAAACTTTATTTAAAAACAAAAACAAAAACAGGCAGGGGGCCTCATTTGGTCCACAGTCTGCAGTTTGCTGAGCCCTCTTCCAGAATATCACAATCATAAAGACTCTTGAATATTTATAGTTCTGGGAGTCAGATTAAAAACAATCCCAGAATCTTTCTACAAATGTGTTATTAAAGTATATCCAACGTACAGATGGGGCGCCTGGCCGGCTCAGTCTGTGGTGCATGCGACTCTTTTTTTTTTTTTTTTTTTTAATTTTTAAAGTGTATTTATTTATTTTTGAGAGAGAGAGAGACAGCACAAGCGCCCCACGGAGCATGCAACTCTTGTTCCTGGAGTTGTGAGTTCAAGCCCCACATTGGGCATAGAGATTACTTAATAAAAAAATGAATAAAAATACAAGAGGGGCGCCTGGGTGGCTCAGTCGGTTGAGCATCCGACTTCGGCTCAGGTCATGATCTCACAGTTCGTGGGTTCGAGCCCCACATGGGGCTCTGTGCTGACAGTCCAGAGCCTGGAGCCTGCTTCGGATTCTGTGTCTCCTTCTCGCTCTCTGCCCCTCCCCCGCTCATGCTCTGTCTCTCAAAAATAAATAAATGTTAAAAAAAAATTATCAAGATAAATAAATAAACCTTAAAAATCAAAAATAAAAGCTCTTCAGGAAGCTGATAATGAAAACGGGTTGCGAAACACTGACATAAAGGAATAGACCATTCTGGAATCTTACCACGGCAGTAGCTTAGATACTTTGCATAGGCTTTTAGGATTTTCCAGTCTCAGAGTGTGTAAGAGCAGGGAATTCTAGAATCCAGGTGGAAAACCATGGGCTCTCAAAGCTGGAAGGGACCTTGCAGATCAGTCAAGCCAGCTGCCTCCGGTCACAGATGAGAAAACTGAGGCCCAGAGAAGGCTGACACGTGTCCAGGCACGTGCAGCCAGCTTTCTGGAGAGCCCAGCGCCTAGGCTGTCCCCACTCTGCAGGTCTCCTCGCTCTGGGCCAAGCCCTGCACGGGGCCGGGACACTCAAGCTGACCCAGGGCTCCTGCTCTCCCGGCCTGCTCAGTTCCTGGCCCAATGCCCATTCCGCTCCCGTTGGCAGGAGGGCGATACGTTAAGGCTGTCCTGCCTGTCCCCACCTTCTAGTAACGTGACGCCTGCGTCCAGCTCCCTACAGCCGGCTTCCCCACCCCGGCACAGCTTCTCGGCCGCCCGGAGGGACCAACTCCAGTGTGAGAACACGCAAGATGAAGAGGTCAGGGGCACCGGGCCTCACGTTCGTCGCAGCAACTTTGGCTGGAGTTCATATCAATTACACAGCCCTGGAAACATGGCCCCACTGGGCCGGTCACTTGCTGTGTGACCTTGGGCAGGGAACTTGACCCCTCTGTGCCTGATTCCTCAGCGATGGGTTAGATGAGTTTGAAGTAATCATATCTACAGAGCTTATTACCGGGTCTGGAACATGATAAGTCCTCAGGAAACGTCAGCGATTATTTCGATCTGTTATGTTGATTATATTCGGCCAGACTCACAAGTTCAGGCCAGTGTAAGCTTTTTCTTTCGTTTCTTTCGTTTCTTTTTCTCTCCCTCCCCCCCCCCACCCCCCGAAACAGAGAGAGAAAGGGGAGCTGAGGTGAGCAACACTTTTGCTCAAAGCGGGGCTGAGACCCAGTTCCCTTGTATGTAAAATAGGCTAGACACCAGGATTGAACTCCAAACCCAGGAGTCCTGAGGGTGTCGGATCCCATCGCCGGCATTGTGGAACTCACGGTGGGGACGGTGGAGCTCACGACCAGGGGGATGGGGCTCATGGCGAGGAACAAAAAAATCCATTCGGCGACTGTTTTGCAATAACCGAGCAAGTCGGAGGTGGGTAGCCCCGTTTTTCAGAAGAGGAAGCCGGTTCTGAGCGAGCGCGCGGCAGGGGAGGAATCGTGAGGTCCCACGTGGGGTAGGGAGGCTGTGACCCTGAAGGGTGGAGGCTGGACCCGAAGGTGAGCACCCCCACCCCCACCCCCGCGACACACAGGTTCCTCCTCTGCAGACCGCCTGCCGCCCAACGCGAACCACACCTGCAGCCACCCAGGTGAGCCCCCGCCGCGAGTCCCGCCTCCAGCCCCGCCCCCTGCGCCCCGCCCCGCCCTCCCCCTCTTCAGGACTCCTGGTCGCGCCGCCGGTGGCAGGGGCCGTGGCCGTGGCCGCCGTCGCGCCGAGGGCCCGTGTCTGGAGCGGCCGTGGCCGCGGGCGCGGGGACCCAGGTAACCGCGCAGGTAGCCGGGAGGACGGCGGGCGGTTTCCGCCGGCGAGCCTGCCCCCGCGTGGCGGAGGCGGGAACTGCAGCTACTTGGCGAGGCCGCGGCGGCCGCCCCACCTGCCCCTTCTGGAAGGAGCGCGGGTGGGGCTGCGGGGTTGGGGGGAGAGAAGGAGAATAAAGGGAGAAGTCTGGCCCCAACACTCGTGTCCTGCAGAAGCGGAGGAAGGCTGGAGAAAGCCAGGCGGTCTCCTGTGATTTTCCCCTCTTAGTCTGTGGCATCCCTCCCCCGCCCCCCACACCCGTGCAGGGGATCCTCTCTAGGGTAACGTCCTCTACCAGCCCCGGGGGCGCCCAGAGAAGACTGAGGCGTGGCCAGTGGAGGGGCAGGTGCTGGACATCCCCGCGGAGGTCCAGACGGGTCTATTCGATCTCTTTCCCGCAGACCCCCAGACCCCCAGCCACGTTTGGCCCAGAAGCCTTGCCCCAGCCCCAGCCCCAGCCCGGGTCCCCCCATCTCTACAGTCGGTGTCTCCCCTGACCCACGCCCCTCTGGGCAGCAGAAGCCAAGAGGGCTCCTCGAAGCGGGAAGAGGGATCGGAACCCAGAAAAGGCGCGCCCCCCCCCCCCCCCGTGGCCACGTGAAAATGTGACTGATTTCCAGAAGGGGTCGGGGAGCCCAGCCGCCCAGCCCAACAAGACCCGTGTCCTCCTCACCGTGAGGCTGGATTCCTCCCTCGCCCTCTGGGCACTCAAAGGCTCATAAAGAAAGGAAAGGCAGATCTTGTGGTGACTTGGGGAGCGTTAAAGATATCGGAGGGGTCGTCTGGGGGCCCCTGAGCCCCAGGACGCCTGGAGGGGTCCGCTGTGCTGAGGGGGCTCTGTGATGACAGGCCAGCTCCCTCCTCTTATCCTCGGAGGGTCACGTCCAATTAGCGGACGAGTGATGCCCCCAGCCTCTACCGGGCGCCTTGAACTGGAGGCACCGCCCTCCCTGGGTAGGCTTGGACACGGATGGCGAGGCGGGACACGGGGGTCCCCAGAATTTATCAGCCCCCGGGGGCTCTGGCTCCACCGTCACCTTGAAGTGACACCAGCTGGGACCGGCTCCCCTCCCCCATTTCTGCTGTTTCCATGGGGACAGATGTCCATTCGCAGCAGCATCCGGGCCACGGCTGCCCGCCCCGGCGGAAAGGAGGGGCCGGGTGGGGGCAGGGCCGGCCTGAGAGCCTCCCCCCCCCCCTCGGTTTCTCCATCTTTGTATCTGCGCGGGATCGGCTCTCTCCGGGTTTTCATCTGACTTCGTACTCAGTCTCCCCGTTTCCCTCAAGCCCTCTTAGTTGTGGGCCATCCTTGTGAGCAATGCAGGCTTCACCCCCCAGCCGGGGTGGGGGACACCCGTCTCCCTTCTTTCCCTGGGGCCGGGATCCCCGCCTCCCAGAAAGGACACTTGAAACACACAATAACTTATTTATTTTCCAGGCCAGAGGAGGGCTGGGAGACGCAGTTCTGTGCCCTAGAACCCGGGAGAGGGCCAAGAAGCAGCCCCGATGAAGGCCCAGGGCTTGGAGGGGCAGCGAGCGTCTCCCTCCCGCTTCCCTCCAGCAGCGACTCTGGGCCCTCGCGGTGCAGGGCAGGGGCTGAAGCTCCTGGGCTCAGGGCGTCTGCACGACCACCGGGTACAGCAGGGCCAGGTGCTCAGCGCCCTGCACGGGCAGCGGCCGGGAGCTGTAATGCAGGACCAGCTCCGGGACGCTGGCGAAGGGGCCGCTGTGCTGACCCAGCACGAACTGGTTCTCTCGGGTCCGTGCGAACTTCAGGTGCAGGAAGCCCTGGCTGCCCCTGGGGGACAGGCATCGCAGAGCGCCTTGATCACCCCAGACCTGCTCAGGCCCTGCGAGCCTAAAGGCAGGCTGGAACACAGGCTGCGCTTTTTCTCCAAACCTTCTGAGCCCGTGCCCTACCCTTCCGGGGCTCCCCACCGGTTAACCTTCAGTCCGGGGTCCCTCTCCTTTCTAAACCGTCTGCCCAATGGAATGACCTTGAACCTCAGAATCATTGTATCCTTAGCATGAAGGAAGCGCTCGTGGCAGGGGCAGGATCGAAACCTATTCTCCAAGCTCTCTTCCACCTTGTTCTTTTAGGGATCTCACGCTCGGATGCCCAGCAGAGTTTGGGGGCTTGTTATAATCCGACACACTGAGAATCTTAGAGACGCACGTCGAGTCGGGATCTCCAACTGAAATGCCCATAAGGGCCACTGGGAGAGTCTGGCCCCGATGGACACAAACGGATACAATTCAACTTTTGGACTGGAGGAGTTGGAAGGAAAGGTCTGGGGGCGCCCGGGTGGCCCAGGCGGTTGAGCTGCAAGTCGATTTCGGCTCAGGTCGTGATCTCACAGCTCGTGAGCTCGAGCCCCTCGTTGGAGCCTGCTTGGGATTCTCTCATTTTTCTCTCTCTGCCCCTCCCCCGCTTGCTCTCTCTCTCTCTCTCTCTCTTTCTCTCTCTCAAAATAAATAAGCTTAAAAAAAATAAAGGAAACCTCTCACCCACACCCTGGATCTACTGGAGACCACGCCCCCTGGCCCTACAAGGCCCGCCCCACTGGGCCTATAAATCCCCTCCGTTTTCCTGAATCCCGCCCTCCCCCACCCTCCACAGCCCCGAAAGCCCCGCCCACTGGCTGCTGGCGCCAGGCTTGGCTGCCACCGAATTAACCCGAAAGCCAGAGGCGGGCAGTTCTGCGACGCTCGGTCCCTCCAGGGGGGCTGGGGTCTCACCTGAGGGACAGGGAGCAGTCTTGGGGACTGGTCTCGCTGAGCCGCACGAGGTAGCTGCCTTCCTTGCAGAGCGACAGGAGGCTCTCAGCATCGGCCCGGCTCAGTGGGCCGTGGAACCACCTAGGGGGTGGGGACAGATGTCTCCTCAAGGGTCATCCCCCTTCGAACGCACCCTGGGGCCTGGTGCAGGCACAGCCGATCCAGGGACTTGTGACCTCCAGGCAAACAAGTGACAAAAATCCCCCCCGGGGTTTCTCAGGGGGGGCCTGGTTTCCAGGCAGCTGAGCCCAGGTCCACGTGGAGCCGCTCCCCCCAGTTCAACAGATACACCTGACCTTGATCTCTACAGCCTCCCCAGGCGAGGTCCCCAGTGGCCTGTGTCCCCTTCCCTAATCGCTCAAACGGAACCACTTGCGTGGGGCTTTCACGAGACTTGCCACATCCCGTATCCCCACCCACCTGTAGCATCCTTTCTCGAATATTTCCCTGTAATGCGCTCAGGGAGAGGTTAGCGGTTGCGAGCGGGGGGCTCCAAGGCAGACGAGCGCCCAACAGACTCGGCGGTTGTTTGCATGGAAAGACCCTCCTCCCCCGGTGCCCCCTTCTTCACCAGTCAGCTCTGTGTCACGGTTTGGGAACAACCGTGATAAACACACAGGCTGGTGGTGCCCTCAGGGCTGGACTCGGCGGGCTGTTAGGGACTTCCCGGAGGAACCGCTAGGCTGGAGAGGCCCAGAAAGGACCCGGACTCCCCCAGCTTGCGCGCCTAGAGGTTAAGCGACTTGCCCAAAGCTGCACAGCCAAGAGACGCAGGGCAGAGATGTGAACCCAGAATCTGATGCCAGGGGGAATGACCTAGCTAGGTGTCTGTCACAGGGGCAGGCTCCGGTCCCCAGCGACGATGGGCAGAGGAAAGAACTGAAGTGAACGAATGAGTCCTAGGAATCTGCAGCTGGTACGGGATGGGGAGGGTCCTCCAGCTGGAGCTTTCCCACTCACGGCTGTTTCTCCAGGGGCAGGGCCGGGTCCACGCGCTCTGCGGGCTGGGGGCTTCTGGATGCGGGTTTCCGGAGCTCTTTGGCTGAGCCTGGGGTCCTTTCCCACTCCGGGCCGTCAAACTGCACTGGAGGGGGGAGGGGGAGGGTTAGAGAGGAAACGGTTAAGCCCAACCCCACCCGGGAGGGGCGGGACCGGGGCAAGCCAATGCACTCTCAGTAGGGAGGCGGTGCCAGCTTGGGCAACCTATCAGAGTCCCCAGTAGGTGGGGCCGGGCTTAAGGGCTGGGGCAGGATTGGCACAGGAGCAACCAATCGGCCTTCAGGAGAAAGGGGTGTGGTCACTCAGGTGTGCGGGCTTGCAGGGGCGGGGCAGCCCCACGAGGGACCAATCTGAGAGCAAGAGGCGGGGCTAGAGGGGAGGGGTGGTCATTCTGCAGACTCTGGCCGAGTCCTGGAGCCTAGAGCCCCGCCCCCACCATGGACAGGTAGAGTGAGGCGCTGAGCCCCAATGTCCCTCCAGGTCACACAACTTCTGGGGCCAAGCTGGGTTTGCACAACTCTCTCTGGCCCACGTTATTTTATTTCTTAAAGCTGACCATACTGTTACCCTCTTTACAGAAGAGGAAACTGAGGTCAGAGACTTGGCCATGCTTCCCCCACTCAGGATCTGACCCCAAGCCCACCTAATGACAGTTACTAAGAAATGCTACGCTCTCCCCCAACAGCACTTTCTACCACTCGCTTCGCACGCACCCTGTTCTGTAGGTGCTAGAATGACCCCCGTTTGAGGGGTAAGGCAACTGAGACTGAAAGAGAAAGTCTCAAGTGAGTGACATAAACCCAGGCCTAGCCTATCCCTGCACAACATTGAGGATAAAGAGTCGGTTCCATCGCCCTCTAACGGCGTTTCCGCTCCCAAGGAAGATACAAGTTCTCCTAGGAAGAGAAATGTATGGGGTTATCAGTCCTTCACACTTCAGTGAGAATGAGTAAACTATCACGGTGGCAGGCGACTGGGGTCTATTTTGTACGTTGAAACAGGGGGGAAAGACCAGATCAAGAAATGGAAGGGTGAGGACATTCAGGGCCCGTGGAAGGTCAAGGCCTGGGTCGGAGGGGCACCTGCAAACGCCTTGGAGATGTGGTCTTTCTTCCACTCCCAGGGCTGGTCATACTCATCCGCTGGCCGCTCATCCTCCTGAGGCAGCCGGCTCTGGCGAGGTCTCCTTCCAGAAGGGGGCCCATCTCCTGGCTCTCGGTCCTGCTCCTCATAGGGGGTGTCATACAGCTGCACCCCCTTGGACGGCAGTTCTGGGAGGCCGAGAACACTGGTCAGTGCCCACACCCACCAGGGACCCTGCCACCTGCCCCCAAACTCTCACCCCCCCCGCCCCCCCACTCACCGCTCACGGCCCTCTGGGCATCGTAGGGCTCCATGTAGCCATCATCTGAAGGTGGCAGATGAGGCTGGGCATCGAAGGGGTCTGAGTACTCGGTGTCGAGTTCCGACTGGAGAGAGAAGTAAGGAAGTGGCCCGAGGGGAGTGGGGAGACTGAGCCCAGCGGCGGACACCCCCTCCGGAGGGATGGCGCCCCTCTCTGAATCATCTAACCCTTCCGCTCCACGCGGCTCATTTTCGCCGGGGTTGGGAGTCCTCTCCACCTACCCACCAGGATTTGTGCACAGACGCCAGCTTCTCCTCCTCTCTGCCTCCGTGCAGTTCTGACTCTGACACACAGCCCTGCCTCCCTCCTTCAATAATTGTTAATGCTTGTCAGATGAGGAAAGCAAGGCACAGAGAGGGTAAGTGACTTGCTAAGGGTCACACAGCAGGCGAGTAGGAAGCAGGGTTGCAGCCCAGGCTGTCTGCTTCCCGGAATCCCCGCCTCCTCCTTCCTCTCTCTGTGCTCTTAAACCACTGGGCACTTCACACAGTCTCTGGCAACCCTCCTCAAATCCTTCTCTGTCTCCACGGAGGGTTTGGGCCGGCTCCCTCATCCTCTAGGGAAAACACTGAAAAAAGCATGGGCATTGGAGGCAGGTCTGGGTCAAGTTCTACTGAGCTAGGGCCCTGCAACCTTGGGCCAGATGCCTCTGTGAGCCTCAGTGTCCACTTCTGTGAAATGGGAATAATAGCGGAGGAGGGGCACTTATAGTGGTGAGGATGTCCCAGGGCTCGGCAGGGCGGTACGGTGGTGATCCCCCCGGATCTGTTTGGGGAGCTGGGGGGGGGGGAGGACGAGAGGTGTGAGCAGGGGACAGGAGGACAGGGGGACAAAGCGGGGCCAGAGAGGCAGTGGGACCCCCAGCGCCGTGCACCGGAAAGGGACAGATATCAAACTCCACTCAGCAGGTGGAGGACTGAGGAGGGCCTGGCTGGGGCCCTGGCCTCCCCATGAAACAAGCTTCCCCAAATCCAGGCAGCCCAGTCTGGCCCTCCCGGCCACCCGGTCTCCTGGGGGCCACCCCACCCCTGGGACTCAGCCACGCACCTCTTCCCCAGGGCTGCCCAGCAAGACCTTGGCTCTGGCCATGTCTGCAGCTTCCACCTTGATGAGCCGGTGCTTGGGAGAGTCGTACTTGGCGTCTCCGAGGCCCTTCGAGTCCCCGGCGCCGGCCGGGTCCGACTCCAGGCGGCTCTCCGAGTCCTCGTAGGGGTCCTCGAAGTCCAGATTCTTCTGTTCCCGGTAGGCCCTCAGGATGTCGCTCTCCGTGTAGTCGGGGGTGGGCGGCTGCGGAGGGGGCCTCCGACCGCCAAAGCTCAGGTAGTCGCGTAGCCACTTGGCCATTTGTGCGTGTGTCACGCCAAGCCTGGCCGCCGTCAGAGGGGGACCCACATGCCCCCTTTCTCCGAAGAGCCCCCGGGGAGGATGGGGGAGGAGACGGGTGGGTGGGAGGAGGAGGAAGAGGAGGAAGGAGAGCAAAAGTCCACCTTAGCCCGGCTCCGCAAGGACGGCGCGGAAAGGGGGCGCCCCGCAGGGCCCTGAACGCCGAGCGCCGGGTGGCCGGGCCAGGGCGAGGGGCATCCGCGGAAGCGCGCGGAGTTTCCGCGGGAAGCGCGGTCCCCGTGCGCCGCTCGGCCGCCCGCCGCCTCCGGGAAGCTCCGGGATTCCCTTCTGGGGTCTGGGCTCGGGGCAAGCGCCGCCCGCGGGCGCCCCCAGCCCCGGCTCGGCCCGGACGCCTGGGTGCTCAGCGCAGCGGGCGGGCTCCCCCGGGGCGCGGGCGCCGCGCGCAAAGTCGGGCCACGGGGACGGTGACCTCCGCGCGGCGCATCCTTTGCTGCGCTCGTCTGCGCTCCGGGGGGAGCCCGGGTCCCGCGGCCCCCGGCCCGGCCGCCTCGATCCCACCCCAGCCGCCGGCACAAAGGGAAATAAAACCTCCTCCAATCCCCCTTCACGCTTTCGGAGAGACTTTACCCGCCGCGGCCGGGAGGTGGGACTTTGGGGAGGGGGCGCGCGGGCGGACGCCCCAGCGCCTGCCGGCCCCCAGCCGCGTCCCGGGCAGCGACGTCAAGGCTTCCCCGCCTCCCCCTCCGCGGCTTCCCCCGCCCCCTCCGGTCCCCCTGCGCCCCCCTCGGAGGTGACTGAGACCTTCAGCTGTTCTGGGAGGGGAGGGGAGCCGCTGCCCGCGCTGGGAGGGGGGGGGGGTGGTGCGGGGCGGGAGTCGCGGGGCCGAGGCCGCGGCAGCTGGACACTGACCCGGAGCACCGCGGCTGGCAGGAGCGAGCGTGGAGCGCGGGAGGTGGGAACAGACGGGACTGACCTTGCTCACGAGAGCGAGAGGTGCAGAGGCGGGGGACGGGGCGGGGAGGGGGGGGGGGGGGAGGCGCGGAGAGGAGGCGAGGTGGAAATTGGCCGGGAGATGGGGTGAAACTGACCGGCAGAGGGGGTGAGAGCCACCACTGTTGAGGGTTGAAACTGAGCCAGCCTCTGGCGGCGCAACTGACCAGCAGACTGTTCCGGAGGTCACTGGCTAAAATTGATATTGATGCCGCGGAAGCAGGCGAGGGGCGACGGGAAGGGACGGGGGCCTGGCGTCCCCTTCCCAAGAGGAGGCTTCTCTGCACCCCCCACCCCAGGGGACCGATTGCAGCATGGGGGAAGGGGGCTGGGGCAGCTGGCCGTGGGAAGGGAGATGCTATCTGTGCCTGGCGTGTGTCCTCAGCATCTGTCCCTTTGTGGCTTCTGGGGGTGGAGGCAGGGAGGGGGACCCAGACGAGAGGGGTCTCGCCTGGCCTGGCCGCCTGTTGGCAGCTGCGGCTGTCGGGGGCCGGGAGGGGGGATGCGGGGCGGGGGGGGGGGGGGGGGTGGTGAGGACGCTAAGAGGTCTGGGGCAAGGGGAGCGGAGAGGCGTGCTGGCCAATTCCAGAGCAAACAGGCCTTTTCTTTCCTCACAAGGGGGCTTGCTCAGCTCCCGCTCATGCTGAAGGGAGGGGTGATCGGGAAGAACGGGACTCCGGGTTCCCTTCTCCCAGTGCCCCCCTCCCCCAGGGCGGGCAGGTGCCTGTGGCTGGGAGGGGGGTGGGGAGGATCAGAGAGAAGTCCAGTCTGGAGCTGACGGTGAAAATGCCCCTGGGGAACGACAGTGGGTCGGGCAAGGTCTATGCTGTCTGTGCCTTGCTTTCCCGGTTTGAAAAGTGGGGTTTCTAACAGGAAACCCCCCAGGGAGCTCAAGGAAGGCTTGCGGGAAAGGAGTGAGTTATTTTTTCCCCCATGGGGAAACCGAGGCACAGAGAGGGGGAGGACTTGCTCAGAGCCAGCCCGCAAGCTCATTGGCTGATTTGGTTTGGCCGGGGCGGCACTCGAGACCCAGCAGAGTGTCTTTGTGAAATCAGTGGTTCCCCATCTCCCTCCCCCACGCACACTGTTAGCCCCATTCTGCAGGCCGAGAAACTGAGGTCCAGAGCTGACGAGGCAAAGCCTCTCAGCGCAGCAGAGGCCCCCATGCATGGGGCTTCCTCTTTTCTGCTTTGGCCCTGTCGCCCACATGAACCTGTTGAACTCGGTCCTCCTCCTGCAGCCCATCCGGATGCCCCCACCCCACCCGGCCCCGCCCTCTCCGATCAGCGACAAGGCAGCGTTCCCCCCCCCAGGGACTGCCGGGGAGCACGGCGGGTAATTGTCCTGTTTTCTGTCAGCCGCGAGGCAATTCCCAGCTCGGGGACGAGCCGTTGACAGATCTCATCAAATCCGAGCCCTCTCCCGGTCGGATAAATACGAGCCGTCTGAGGTATAAATATTTGAAAGGGGCCTTCTAATTACAGCGTGTGTCAGAAATAGCAATTAGAGGCCCCGGAGGCAGAATCAAACGGCGTTTGACTTTCCTGCGCTTCTGAGCTGGCTGCTCCTGGGGCCGGCCCCCGCCTCGTCCTAAGGAGAGGAGCGGGGAAGGGGTTCTGGGAGGAGGGAAGAGCGGGAGACGGTGGATGCCGACAGCCAGGCTGGGGGTCTGGCGACCTTGCGGCGTGCCCTTGAAGAGCCACCTAAACTCTCGGGTTTCTGCTTTTTGACTGGGAGAGGAGGGGGCCCGCTGTGTGGACAGTGGGGAGCAGGTGGGGTGGTCTGGGGGTGCCTCCCTTCCCCCAGCACCCGTGGTCCCCGAGGCAGTGTATCAAGGGGCATCTCCTGGGTGTGGCTCAGTGTCTGGAATCCCAGCCCTCCTGACCTTGGGTGGTGACCTCAACTGTTTTCCAGTCTCTGAGATGGGACAATGACCTCTGTTGAGCGCTTTCGGGACGCCGTTGGTGGCACCTTGTTTTTTTGTTTTTGTTCTTTTTTTTTTTTTTTTTTTTTTTCCTTTTGAGATACAGTTCACATACCTACAGTTTACCCACTTGGCGTGTGCGTTTCAGTTTGGGCATGTTCTCAAGATCGTGCAACCGCCAGCACGAATTCCAGAACATTCCCATCACCCCCAAAAGGAACCCCATCCCCATCAGCAGCCTCTGACTATTCTCACCACTTCTCCGGCCCCAGCCCCTCTAATGCGCTTTCTGTTCCTGGGGGTGAACTGCCCTGGACATTTCACGCACAAGGAATCACACACTATGTGGCTTTTTGTGTCTGCGTCACATTTTCAAGGCCCATCCACGTTGTAGCAGGTGTGAGCGCCTCGCTCGTCTTACGGCCAAATAATACTCTATTGCATGGCACACAGTAGGTGCTCAGTATATGCTTTAGGTGGATGGGATCTTAAGAAGCAGCCAGATGGGGCCTGGCTGGGAGCTGTCCCGTCACTCTTGTCTCATGGAGCAGCCAGTCTGGAGGTGGGAAGGGAGCCAAGGCACCAGGATAAGAAAGGACCCTTGGGGATGGCTCATGGGGAGGCCTAAACACTCCTACCTCAGAAGACTCAGTCTGATGGCGGATAGGTGCCTGCCTAATAGGCTCCCAGTCTGATAGGGGAGGCAAGATCTGACGCTCTGAAACATTCAATCTGATGGAGGAGGTATAGCTCTGACCTCAGGGGCTTCTACTCTGATGTGAGAGACGTGGCCCTGCTTTTAGGTGCCCCTAGTCTAATGGAGGAGATGGAAGCCTGTCTTTAGGAGTCCCAATCTGATGGGGGAGGCATGGTCCCAACTTCAAAGGCCCCTAGTCTGATGGAAGAGACACAGCTGTGTCATCACGAGTGGCCAATCTGATGGGAGGGGCACGGCCCAGCCCCTGGAGGCTCTGTCTGCAGGAGTCGCCGCGGAGTGTGGTCATTAAAGGTGGAGCCTTGGAGCCTTGCGGCTGCAAACCCAGGCCCTGTCCCTCGCTCATTCTGAGCCCTTCGCCAAGGAATGAGCCAGTTAGAGCTTGGGAAATGGGCCCTTTGTGCAGTCCAGGCTCAGGCAGAGCGGGCTGTTTGGGGGGGGGGGCACCCCCACCAAGTCCTCTGATGTACCGCAGCCCCCAGGGGATTGATGGAAGAGATTCCGGATGAGGCCTGACAGCTCCCCAGGATGACAGACACGGAGCTAGTGAGCGAGCAAGCGAGCGTGTGGGGAAAGGGGGAAGGGCAGGCTCTGGAGAGCAGGAGGGGGGGGGTGCAGGGGGTGTGGGGGAGAGGGGGCGGGTCGAGGCTCTGCAGGATCCGAGCACACACATACACCAGACCCAGATGCATGCTATCCTTCTGCCGCTGGACCCTGGGCACCCCCACGGGAACCGGGGCCAAGAGCAGACCTGCTCCCAGGCCAAAGGGTGGGAGAACGAGGCGTGAAGGTCTGCAGGGAAATAGAAGAAAGATCCAGCGAAGTAGGAGGTGGGGAGGGGTTATAGAGCGGGCAGAACTGCGGGCCTCTGCTCCCTCCTCTGTGAATGGGGAGACACCCACTTAGGCCACAAACATCTATTGAGCACCTACTTAGTGCCTGGATGGTCTTAGGTGCTGGGGATACACCCGTCCACACAGCTATACCCTTGCAAAGCTCATTGTTGACAGGGCACCTGGCAGGCAGACCCTCGGCGGACCTCCAGTGACCCCAAGCTGCTGGTGGTCACAGCCGTGTGTAATCCCCTCCCCGTGAACGTGGCCGGAACCTGAGGCTTGCTTGCGGCCAGCGTGACAGGGAAAAGGTGATGGGATACCACTTCTCAAAGACTCCTGTTGTGGTGGCTTTCTGAAGCCACCTGTCAGAGGTCCCTGTAGCCAAGCACCCTGAGGGTGGCCTCCGCCCAAGAGCCTGTGAGGAGCCAGATCCTGCCAACAGCCACGTGAGTGGGCTTGGAAGGGGATCCTCCCCCAGACGGGCCTTCAGATGAGACCGCAGCCCCGACCAACATCTCAGTTGTGGTCATGAGACCCTGAAGCAGAGAACCCGGCAGAACCACACCCACATTTCTGTTGTTTTCAGCTGCTACCTTTTGAGAGATCTTGTTAGGCGGCATTAGCATATACGGGGGTGGTGGGTAATAAACACACCTCGGGCCGGCAACCCCTCAGGCCGCCATCTCGCCCTGCTGTGTGTTCGCCCAGAGTTATCACTGCCTCCGGCACACACATATTTCCTTTCATATCTTATTGTTACGTTTAGGTGGGTTTACTATCTTATCCCCCATCTTCCAAAAATAATGTCACCGTTATGAGTGGGGACTGTTTTTTCTTCACTGCCATTGTCCCAGTGCCTGAAACAGATCTGGGCACAAAGTAGGTGCTCAAAAAAAAAAAAAAGAGCTAAAGAACTGCGCAACGGTAGCTCAGAAACTTAAATGAGTTAATCTGCCCAACAGCTTAGCACGGGTTTAGCAAATGGTGAGTCCTTCACAAACGTTCGCTACCATTACTCACCGAACCGGATCCCGTGTACTCCGTCCGGTGCGCCACTGAGAAGAGGGCGGCTGGCGGCCGTCCTCAGGGGGACTTCGGGCAGCAGGGCCGCGGGCACAGGGTGAGCCTGGAGATCGGGGTGTGGAGGGGTCCCGGCCACCCTCCCGTGGAGGCTGGGGGAGCAGAGCAGGAAGTGCAGAGCTGGGTGACCCAGGCAGGGGTGGGCTGACCTGGTGGCTTTGCGGGTCAGAGTCCCTGTCCTCCCTACGCAACTCGGCCACTGCAGAGCGAAGCAGCCATGTTATGTGCCAATAACACTTTATTTACAAAACTAGGCTGTGGGCCACGTTTGGCCCACCGACCATAGTTCGCTAACATAGGCGGTAGGTGGGGTCGATACTCTTAACCCTGGTAGCCGATGGCACGTGTACGTGGCTACAAGTAGGGTGGCCCCAGAACGGGGACGTCTGCAAGGAGGAAATCGGAGCGAACCAGAGAGGCCCAGCCTCCTGCCCTCTTCCGGCTGGACGGTTTACTCTCACCGCTGGTCTGAACAGGCACACGTCGCGGGCGTCAGGGGTGTCGTGGAGTGTGGGAAAAGCAGGCAGTGGTGTGCTAGTAAGCGCCTCGCAGCCGGCCTCTGGCGGGGGTGGGCAGCTTCCCAGCACACGTGGACTTCCGGGGTGTAAATGCTCCAGCCACGGCCGAGTTCAAGCCACAGACGTGATGTGGCGGCGGCGGGTGGAACTGGGAGGGGCGCGCCTTCTCGCCAGGCGTGGCTGAGCAGGCTCCCGCCCACCCCCGGCCCTGTCTTCACAGCGGAGACCCCCGGGTCCTGATCGGAAGCCCTGGCTGGATCCCAGTTCACCTCAAGTCACACTAAAGCACAGAAACTATTGTAGGAAAGCAGAAAGCAGACCCCCAAAGCGGGGGCTTTTCAGGGCGCCTGGGTGGCTCCCTAGGTGGCGATCTCACGGTTTGTGGGTTCGAGCCCCGTGTCTGGCTCTGGGTGGACAGCTCAGAGCCTGCTTCGGGTTCTGTGTGTGTGTGTGTGTGTGTGTCTCTCTCTCTGCCCCTCCACCGCTCGTGTTCTCTCCCTGTCTCTCAAAAATAAACATTAGAAGAATTTTTTTAATTAAAAGAAAAAGTGGGGGCTTTTCATCTCGCAAACAGCGAGAAGCACAAAGCCTCATTATCAAATGCCGAGTGAATGAGCGAGAGGAGGGCTGACGTCAGCGACCCCGGGAGGAGCGGCAGGAGAGATGGGGGAGGGGGGGTGTCAGGTTGTGAAGGAACTTGGTGGGAACACAGGACCTTCGACTAGACGAGGCTGAAGTAGAGATTTACACCAGAGTTGACAGCCGGCAGCCTTGAAAGAACGTGAGCTTTGGAACCAGGTTTACTAGTCACGTGACCATGTCAGCTATCTAGCGCTACATAACAAATCATCCCCAAACTCAGGCCGATCCACAAACCCCGGTCGACTCACAGCTTCTGAGAGCCAGGCGCCCACGCTGGCCACGTGTGCTCCCGCGGCCCCGCCTCAGAAGCCGGCGGAAGTGCCCAGACCAGGCGGCAGCTTCCTCTCACTGGTTTGCAGGTTTCCTGGCAGGAGGGGGCGGAGCTAGCGCATGGGCGGGGCCAACGGGGCCGGGGGGGGGGGGGGGTTGGGGGGCAAGCACCGCCCACCCCTCCCTGCCATCCAAGGGAGGCCGGGGAGTACCGCAAAAGCCTGCTGGAAGCCGAGGGCTGTTCCAGGGATGCCACAGCCCCGGAAGGAGGGCCAGGAGGGCGGCAGCGTGAGCCAGGGACCCCGAGGTCCCCGAAGGCTGGTAGGTGGGGGGACAGGGGAGAAACCGAGGGTGGAAGCCCTCGCTGGCCCGACCAGCCTCTGAGGACATTTGTGTTTGTCCGCTCATGGCCCTGGTTGGTGCCAAGGCCTCCTGCCGACCAGCAGCTGACTATGGACACGTGACCTTGACCCGGAGAAGGGCCTGGGCAGGGGTCTCAGCTGCTGCCGCTGCTGTCCTCGCTGTCCGAATATGCCCCCAGCTGGCTCAGGGAGGAGGTGCCGGGTGTCCAGGGTGCAGGGTCAGCCGCCTTCCCGCTCTTCCTGGGGCCTGGGGGAGAGGCGAGAGCGCCTGGTAGGGGGCGCCCCTCCCTCGCCCCCCTCCGCGGGTTCCCAGCGCGCGGCAGCAGCACTGGGGGCGCTGCTGCCACCTGGCGGCCCTCTGAGGCGCCGGGCTCCGATCCCGGGACCCCGGAGCACCTACCGGGGGTGGGTGACGCCTGACCCTGCCTGGTGCTGCGACCCGGGTCTGTTTTCTTCACCACGACCAGGCCTGACAGCGGGGGCCTGTTGCCAAGGGTGCCGACGCTCCGTTCCCAGCTCTCCGCCTTCCTCTTGGCTTTTGGAGCCTGGGGGTAAGCGGAGGGGACACGAGTGGGTGAGCTGTCCCAGATCCCCCCTTCTCCCGCACATCCTAAGTCACACACCTTCTCACCTCCATGCCTTTTCTCACTCCGTTCCCTCCACCTGCCATGCCCCTTTTCCTCTAATGCATTTGGCGAACTCCTACTCACCCTTCAATACCCATCCAGGTATTGGCTCCTCTGGGAAACCTTTCTCCACAGTTCAAGCTCAAGTGAGTGCTGTATTTCCACGCCCCCAGCACCCTTTCACCCTTTACTGCCTCATTACGTATCCCCCCCATCCATCCGTGCTGTGGGTTCCTGTCCTGTTCACAACTGGGTCCACAGTGCCACACGTGATTCTTGGCAGGAAGATGCTCTATCAATGTGTTTGACGAAGAGGCAAAACGGAGGCACCCACTTTCGGGACTAGTTAGGGGAAGGCAGAAAGGGGCTCAGCCTCACATCCAGCTCTTCAATCGTACCGGGAGGAACCCCTTTTGTCAGTTATGTTGAAACAGGGAAACGAATCCCCTGGATCAGGAGGTCCTGTCTGAGCCTGGCGCTGGAGCTGCCCTCGCGGGGCCCACCATCTGAGGGAGGACGGAGGAGGGACAAGAGGAGGTCGCCAGGACAACACCCGTCTTGACAGAAGGACATCAGTGTGGCACGACAGTGGAGGGAACGGCAGCCACTGTTGACAGGGCGGTGGGGACAGGTCTCCTCAGAGAGGGGACCCGGACTGACGACAGAGCGAGGAGGAGGAGCTACAGGCAGAGATGCGAAGGGGGCCTCGGGCAGCCCTGTTGCAATCTGCGTGCTGGCCGGGGCCCCGAGAGCGGCGACCAGGACCGACGCGGCCCAGCGGGGGACAGAGCAGCTTTCTGACCCGGCATCACTGAACGGTCTCACGCGGCCCCCACAGCAGGCCGGCGCTTGTGAGCACTCGTTCGAAACCCGTCCCTGCCAGCTGCGCTCACTGCCCCTAAACTGAACCAAGAACACAGGGACGGACAGATGAGCTTCCGTAAGGGTCTCGGTGAAGGTTTGGGAAGTCTTGACGGAGGCATATTGTGCAAAAGGAAAGTCGGTTGTCACCCTAGGCGTGAACGAGACACCTGTGACGGGGCTGGGGGGGACGGGACATCAACGAAGCCTTCAAAGATTAACGGGTGACAGAGCACGACCTCCAGAGCCATTCTCTCTGCTGACAGTCAGGGGCAACTCAGCGGGAGCATGGCTACCCCACGGAAAGACTACCTTTCCCATCCTCCTTTGCAGCAGGACGTGGTCAGGTGGCTCAGCTCTGACCAATGGGATGTGAGCAGCAGGATGTGCAGAACCCAGGGTGCAGCGGCCCTGAACGTCCCCCTCCCCTGCCCGCCCCTCTCCTCTCCGGCCAGGATGTGAAGGTGGCACTGAGACACCATGCAGTGAGGGCACCCCCCCCCCCCCCCCGCCGACAGCAGAACCAGGAAGAAGGCAGGTGCCTGGGCCCCGTGCTGTGGGGCCACCTTCCCTGTCCGGATGGCTGTGCACAACTGTCACTGGAGAGAAAAGTAACCCCTGTGCAGTTGAAACCCTTGTTACCCGGGGTCCTATCCACTGGCGGGGCTTGCGATCTAGTAACCCGGACCATGGATACGTTTAAATGAAAACAAACGATTTCCCTCATTCACCCCCTTCTTCAGTTAACAAACCAGAGTGGCCTAGGGGCGCCTGGGCGGCTCAGTCGGTTAAACGTCCGACTTCAGCCAGGTCACGATCTCACGGTCCGTGGGTTCGAGCGCCGCGTCGGGCTCTGTGCTCACAGCTCAGAGCCTGGAGCCTGCTTGGGATTCTGTGTCTCCCTCTCTCTCTGCCCCTCCCCTGCTCACGCGCTGTCTCGTCTCTCAAAAATGAATACACGTTTTAAAAAAAAAAAAAAAAAAAAAGAGTGGCCTTGACCTTGGCGGATAAGACAGCTGTGGTGCAAAGTCCACCTGCCACATCCTTGTCTCTCCTCCTTTCTGCCAGCACGGGCGGCCTACAGGCCGCAGTTCCCCGGCTCTCTGCAGCTCCCTGAGGCCAGGACATCAGTCCAGCCAATGAACTTCGAGGGGCTGACAGGCAAACATCGGTGTCCTTAGGTCTCCACCTTTGAGGGTCTCGCTTGTTTCAGCGGCTGAAGCAGCGGCCGGTAAAGCAGAGCCCGTCTTGACCGTGAAGTTTTACCGGCACGTGACCACGGCCACTCATTCCCGCAAGATCCAGGGCTGTTTGGGGCTGCGATGGCGGACTTGAGCCCTTACGACACACGCGGTCTGGCCTTTGGAGACCAGGTTAGGCCGACCCCTGGCTCACCCTCTCAGATTAACCCGAGAACACGCGGAGGTCCAGGCGTGCGCTCACCTCCTCCAGGATGGCGGTGGGGTTGGGCCGCGGGGCCAGGCGCGGCGGGGCAGGAGCAGCAGCGTCCTCTTCTGAATCCGAGTCCTCCAACAGCCTTCGTTTCCGGGCTTCCTCCACCAGGGCCCTGTGGGACGGCACGTGTGCCTGGGATGTCCCGCCGGGGCGCGCTGCCCCTCCTGACATGGGTGAGTGCCGGAGGCGGGGTGGGGGCACACAAATGCCTTAAAAACAACCTTCTCTGGGGGGGCCGCGTGGCTCAGCGTGTTGAGCATCCGGCTCTTGTTCTCGGCTCAGGTCGTGACCTCGGTGAGATCGAGCCCCGCGTCGGGCTCCGCACCGAGTATGGAGCCTGCTTGGGATTCGCTCTCTCCCTCTCTCTGCCCCTCCCCTGCTTGTGCTCCCTCTTTCTCTCAAAATAAATACACGTTAAAAAAAAAAAATCTCTGTCCACTGAGGGCAGCGAGTGGTTAAGTGCTTGGCCGATGGCACCAGCCACCTGAACCCGAACCCTGGCCGGGTGACCTGGTTGGGACCGCGCCTGGAGCGCCCCACGCCGCAGTCCGTCGGCTGCCAGAATGATCAGGATGACCTCAAACCGGTGCCCGGCACTCGGCAAGTGTCGGATAAACATACACCCTTCTCACTGCAGATCACCGTATCGCCGACCTGCCCACGCCACGGGGACCTACTCCGTACCCCCGTCCCAGGCCCTGCGAATGCAGACACCCAGCCGCCTCAGATGCTGGAGGCGGGAGGGAGGGAGGCCATAAACCGGGAGACGGTGAGTCGGCGAGAAGGTTCCACGGTGGTAGGCGCCGTGCACAAAGTGTGAACACAGCAGGCCGGGCCTGAGGCTCCTCCTGGCAGATCACCAAACCTGGGCGGGGCCTTGGGGACCCCGACACAGACGCCCTGAGAAAGTGAGACGCGGCGGGGGGGGGAGAGCCTCCCGGAGAAGGCGGCCCTTGAGAGAGCCCGGGAAGACCTGGAAGGGGGGTGTTCCAGGCAGAGGGAGAGCCGGAGGTGGGTCAGAGCACCCTGGCCCCCGCCCGGCCCCGCCCGGCCGACTCACGCGGTCTCCCTCTCGTCCTCCTCGTGCTCCCGCTTCTGCCTCTCCTCCTCGGACAGGCGGTGCTGCCGCAGCATGGCCTCAAAGTCCACGTGCGCCTGCCTCTGGTTCAGGTCCTTGAGCTCCTGCAGGTTCTCCAGCACCTCCATTTCCAGCTTGGAGTCCTTGGTTCGGTTCTCCAGCACCTGGCGGGCAGGACACGGGCTGCGTGCACCTGCTGGGGCCGTGGGGCTCGGCACCCGCCAGGGAGAGACCCCTCACCCCGCCTCCATCCACAGCGCCCGCTCGGGGGCCTCCCGCCCGAGCTGCACCCGTCTCACAGCTCCGAACACTGAGGCCGCGTGGCCGGTCAGTGGTGGGGCCAGTCGGCCTCGGCTGCCAGCCTGGCTCCAGCAGGAAATGATATATAGCGAAGAGGAGGGGCGCCCGGCCGGCCCAGTCAGTGGGCCGGGCGGCTGGATGTCAGGGTCGGGACCTGAACCCCTGTGCTGGGCACGGAGCCCACTTAAAAAAATAGTTACAAAAGAGGTTAAACACAGACACCCCGAGCCACTGTTGTGTGCCAGGCTGAGATGTTTCCAAACGGAAGGTCACTTAATCCTTGCGATAGCTTCGTTTATGTCGCGGCTCGGCGGGGCAAGGCCAGCCCCTGTCTCCGAGACAGGGGCGTTTGGAGCCGGGCACAGCCGGGTGTGGGGCCTGCCCTTGGCCGCTTCCTGGCCGCGAGACGCTGTGCCGAGCCTTTGGGAAGTGGCGGTCCTGGGGGTCTCAAAGTACATCCCCCGATTCTTCGAGGTTCCTCCCTGAAAGAGTAGAGCCTGAACTCCCTTCCCACGAGTGTGGGCCGGACTCCGTGACCCGCTCCTAGCGAGCAGAGCATGACGGAATGATGGCCTGTCGCTCTGAGGGCAGCTCCTTTCCCGCTTTTCTGGATCCCTCGCTTTGGGGAGGGCGGTGCCGCGTCGTGCGGGTGCTCAGTGGAGGGGCCCGCGTGGCAGGGACGGAGGCCCCTGCCAGCTCCCCGAGGGCGCCAGCATGGAAACAGCCCCTCTGGTCTCGGTCGAGCCTTCAGAAGATGTGGCTCGACCGGGACTTCATGAGAGACCCCGGGCCAGAGCCCCCCACCCCGGCTCAGCTCCCTGGGGCTCCTGCCCCTCAGAAACTGTAGGATCACAGATGTTTCTTAGGTAAAGTTGCAGTGTGGGGGCGACTCGCTAGGCCGTAACCCCCAGGGCCAGGGTGGGCGGACAAGGATGGACGCAACCACGCGGCAGCCCCTGCAGAGCCCGCCCCCCTGCTGAACCCGGCGCCTCAGGTCCCCCGCGGCAGCTCAGAAGCCTGGCAGAGGGGCGCAGGAATAGCCGGCATCGTGCGGGTCGGGGAGATCGGAATGGGCACCGATGCCCTCTTGCTTCTGAGAAACGCAACACAAGGCACAGGGAGGCCAAGTGCCTTGCCCCAGGCCACACAGCCAGCGAACATTCAAGAGAACGGTGCCTCCCGCACTTCTGGGCTCCACGGCCCGCGGTCACAGGAGCCTCCTGCGCTAACACGGCGCCTTGTGTTCTGCAGTCCGACCTCCTGCCTCCCTGTACCACCTTCTTCTGACGGCACGACCACCTGCCACCAGCTCAGTGGCTTAAAACAGCACGAATCTCCCCGTCTGCCCGCTAGCGTGCGCCAGGAGGCCGGTGCCGCGAGGCACGGCTGGGTTCTCCGGCGGGGTTTCACCAGGCTGACGGCGAGGGCCAGGGGTCTCATCGGGGGCCCGGGCCGCTGGCAGAATCGGTTCCTTGCGGCCGAGGGACCGGGGGCCCCGCTGTCTTGCTGGCTGTTGGACGGGGGGGCTGCTCCCAGCTCCTGGGGGCCGCCCACTGCTGCCTGCCAGGTGGCCCCCGCCCCGGACTTGCTCCCACACGTGGCCCAAGTGCTCCGGACCCAGATGAGGGGGCTTGGGCGGCAGGGCAGGCCCTGGATGAGCTCTCTTCCCTGACGGTGACCGGCAGCCAATCGAACAACCGGATTCCAGGAGTCGGGTCCCGTACATGCAGCCCCGGGACCGCGCAGGGTGTGCGAGCGGCAGGGAGGGGGTGGCGGGGACGGCCTGCAGGGCCGCGGCCCGGGGGCTCTACCTTCATGGGGTTGTTCAGCTCCTCGTCCTCCCGCTCCTTCTGCACCCGCTTCTCCTCCTCCTCCAGGAGCTTCTCCGCCTGGAAGTTCCGGGTGGCCCCGTGCTCCATGCTGTAGTCCGTGTTCTCTGGGTCTGTCTGTAAGGCGGGGGGAGTGGGGGGGGGAGGACAGACGTCAGTCCTGCGTCCTTGGGCATCAAGAGACGCTGCCAGCCCACACCCCGGGACACCTTCTCTCATGCTTCACTCCTTCTCAAGCCTGTTCTTTTCTTTCCTTTTTTAAAAAAGTTTATTTACTTATTGAGCTAGTTAGTTTATTTTGGGAGAGAGAGAGAAAACTAGAGGAGGAGAAAGAGAGAGAGGGAGACACAGAATTGGAAATAGGGTCAGGCTCCGAGCTGTCAGCACAGAGACCGACGTGGGGTTTGAACTCACGAACCCTGAGATCATGACCGGAGCCGACGTCGGACGCTTGACCGGCTGAGCCGCTCGGGCGCCCCTCTTTTCTTAACACTCGGCTCGTTTGGTGCTTTCTAGAGCTCCTGTCCCCTTTGCCAAAAGTGCCAAATTCTGTAGCCTGGACTTTCACACCTCTCTCTACCCGCCCTCTGCCCCCCTGCCGCCCTGCACACGATTGCAAATACGAGTCTCTGGGTCTTCGCGCGCATCCTGTCTTCCTGTCTGCTGTGTGCACGTGCGCGCACACGTATGTATCTGCTGTGTGTGCGCGCGCCTTTCACAATTCTAAATCACATATCGCGTCCGTGCACAGCGTGCCCCTGTCCGCATTTATAAAACGGAGACAGGGAGGAGATGTAAGCTGGGCTCCTGGACGAGACCCCCGCGCTGGAAAGGTGGCATTGGGCAAAACGCGGAGATCTACATGGCGTCCCGAATCCGTTGGCTTCTGACTGCGAAGGAGGCCCGGGGAAGCGGGGGGCGCTGACGGGCGGGGAAGCTGGTGCGGGGCAGACGGGACGCGGGACGCGCTGGGCTGGCCAGGCCGCTCCTGTGTGTCTCCCAGGATCCCAAATAAGCGCCGCAGCGCTAAACCAAAAAGGGCCGGGTAGAGGGTGATCGCTCCGTG